TCATTATTAACATCTAATTGACATCACTTATCATTATTAACATCTAACTAACATCACTTATCATTATTAACATCTAATTAACATCACTTATCATTATTAACATCTAATTAACGTTACCAGCACAGTAAAGGGTTTTCCATTTTCTGATTTTACTTTTAAACATATAGATGAGGAGCGTCTTTAAAATATATCTTTAGCCAATCAAACACTTGAAACTGTGAACTTACTGATTTTATTAAGCTATGAGTTAACAAACGATTATTGCTAGACTAGAGTTTTTGGATTTTTACATGTACTGAAATGATTATAGAACACTGTTTTGACATTAAAAATATTTATAGGTTGTGTTTACAATGCTAATCAATTATTGATGTGATTATATCTAAAGATAAGTCTTGGGGATTTTTGAACGATTACTTTGAACAATTACTATTTAAGGATAAAAAGCAATATTAAGTAGAGTTACAAATTTCTTATCTGTTAATTAATTCCAAAACTGATTAATTGAATGTGGGAGAAGAAAATTAAAATTTTTATGTGAAACTAAAAGGGTTTTTAGAGTGAACTTCTTGGTGTTATAACTAAATGGACCTTCCTAGGAGTGTGTTACAACCTAACGGGGAGGAAGTCAAACACGGGTGAATCCATCCAGCCATTATCTTTACCCGCTTATTCCATTTTGGGTCACGGGGGTCGCTGGTGCCCATGTCCAGCAATCACTGTGCGAGGGGCGGGGGACACCCTGGACAGGTCTCCAGTCCATCACAGGGACACATAGAGACAAACGAGACAAACAACCATTCACTCTCTCTCTCACACCTAGGGACAATTTAGAGTTACCAATCAGCCTAACATGCATGTTTTTGGTCTGTGGGAGGAAACCGGAGTACCCGGAGAAAACCCACGCATGCACGGAGAGAACATGCAAACTCCACCCAGAAAGGCCCCTGGACCGGGGTTTGAACCAGGGACCTGCTCGCTGAGAGGCAGCAGCTCTACCAGTTGCACCACCGTGCTGCTGCACGCAGGTGAATATAACAGGAAATTTAACAGATAATATAAAGCTAAGTTGTGGGTAAATTTTAACAAAGTACAGATGTGCACTTAGAATTGTGGTTAATTTGAATGTTGAACTCAACATTAATTGGGTGACAGGTCTTCTCAAACTAATTTGAGACATGAGATGATTGATGGACTGATTAATTTTGGGGTGGGTTAGATATTAACGTTTACAGTTTATTTACAGTATTATGGAGCTTTATGATTTTTTTCCTTAAAATTAACATGGTTGAACAAGATACTTTTTGCATGGTACTTAGTTAAGAATTATCTTTTAATGATTACTTGATGATTTGTTTATTTAATGACTATTTAATGTGTGAAGACATGAATTAGAATGTTTTTCTAATTAGTTTCAAGAGGAGATCGTGATGAAATAACTTCACTAGATGGTGTTCAGTGGTCAGTTTAAGATTAAAATCAGACACCACTCTGAGCAGCAGGACCACACTGTCCACAGAACAACTGTGTCAACTCTTGAAACTGTGCCTGCAGTCAACCTACTTCACATATGGGGAGCAATATTATAGGCAGAAACATGGGTGTGCTATGGGGTCTCCAGTTTCTCCTATTGTTGCCAACCTGTACATGGAGGAGGTAGAAAAGAGAGCCTTGACGTCCTTTTCAGGGACACCACCAAGTCATTGGTTCAGGTATGTTGACGACACCTGGGTTAAAATCAAATCTCAGGAAGTCCAACATTTTACTGACCACATCAACTCTGTGGATAAATACATCAAGTTCACACGAGAAGATGTAAAAAATGGCAGGTTGGCTTTCTTGGACTGTGAGGTCTCAGTCTCTGATAGAGGACATTTACAAACTGAGGTGTACCACAAACCCACACACACAGACCAGTATTTGCAGTTTGACTCCCATCACCCTTTGGAGCACAAGTTAGGAGTCATCAGGACTCTGTACCACAGAGCAGACAGCGTCCCCACTAGCTCGGGAGCCAGGCAGAAGGAGAAATCCCACACAAGACAGGCTCTAGAGCAATGTGGATATCCTAACTGGGCCTTCCTGAAAGAAGAAACCCAAACAGGACTCCAGTCAGCCATCAGGTGAAAAGGAGGAACCCAGACCCAGACCAGTGGTCATTCCATATGTTGAGGGAGTATCAGAGAAACTGAGACGTTTATTTTCTAAACATAACGTCCCAGTGGCTTTTAAACCCCAAAATACATTAAAGACTGGTTCATCCCAAAGATCCAGTCCCCCGGCACAAACAGAGTAATGTTGTGTATGTTGTTCAGTGTCAGGAGGGTGATCAGTCTTACATCGGGGAAACTAAACTAAAGGAGTAGTTTACATTCACCCAGAGGAAAAATGATTGCTTGCTTATCTGGCGGTATTGAACTCAGAGTTTATTCGAGGGAACCCCTTTGGGGCCCCTCAACCAGGGGGAGTTGTTGGATATTTCTTATCTAGACTGGTCCTGGGGTTTTGATCTGCTCAGAGATGGGATTATAATGAAATTATGACCCGGTTCTGACTGGGTTAAACTGGGCCAGCAACTCTAAAAAGAGTCTCCCTGGGATTTCAATATCAGTCAAGGAATAGTTTAATCTGCTTGCCACATCACGTAGAAAGGCCTTTTGAAGGACCGTCATATTTCCTAACACGTCAGAACCACATAAGATCCATTGAGATCACACTTAGTCACGCCCCCTCATACACTGACAGGTTGAGCTCCCCTTCTGCGAAGGAGGAGTCCAGGACCCTATAAATGAGTAATGACACTGGACATTGGGGCTCTTCCGGGTCTGAACGTGTCACAGACCTTAGAGTCCAGTGCTGTAAATTGTAACCTTTTCCTGCCTTGATTTTAATATACAGTAATTGATAAAACTTAATTGATGTTTCCTTGATTTATTGATAATGAGAGTTGCCACTTCTGAGGGAGATTCGAGCCGAGGGGGAAGACGTGGGCTGGAGGTGGTTTCTGGGTCCAGTGGCCCGCAGCCAGCTCCCGTCTTTAACAAGTGGAAAACATCTTGTTCCCTCTCATGGAGAGAGTTTTGCTGAAAGAATATTCTAAGATATTTCATAACACCAGCACAAAGAAAATACCAAGATACAAGATGTTGGAGGAAATGTGGAGAAGATGGAGCTAATCACTTCCATGTGTTTTGGGATGGCTCATGCATCATACGCTACTGGCAGGATGGAAAGAATTGTATGGATAAAGTTTTGAAGACAAGTATTCCTTTTAACTCTCCTTTCTGATAAATCCTATAGTTAGGGTCGGCTTGGGTTTCCTGAGCTGTCCCTTAGTTCTGCTGCTATAGGCTTAGACTGCTGAGGACAAACTGACCACACTTTTCACTCTACTACTGTCTTTATTATATATATTATATTATATTATATATATTATATTATATTGCGCTGCTCCAGGTGGCTGCATGTTGGAGCAGCTCTGTTACTTTCATTCTGAGATTTTGCTTTTGGAAACTTTAATTCCTCTTTTTTCTGGATGTAAATCACATTTTTTGGATGATTGTTTCCTCTGGTATCTGATGATGAGCAGCTGGAAGGATTTTTACTGAAACTTTTTTAGTTTTGTACATTTGTTATGATGCGTGGGCAGCACGGTGGTGCAACTGGTAGAGCTGCTGTCTCTCAGCGAGCAGGTCCTTGGTTCAAACCCCGGTCCAGGGGCCTCTCTGGGTGGAGTTTGCATGTTCTCTCCGTGCATGCGTGGGTTTTCTCCGGGTGCTCCGGTTTCCTCCCACAGACCAAAAACATGCGTGTTAGGCTGATTGGTAACTCTAAATTGTCCCTAGGTGTGAATGAGAGAGTGAATGGTTGTTTGTCTCGTTTGTCTCTATGTGGCCCTGTGATGGACTTGCGACCCATCCAGGGTGTACCCCGCCCCTCGCACAGTGATTGCTGGACATGGGCACCAGCGACCCCCGTGACCCAAAATGGAATAAGCGGGTAAAGATAATGGATGGATGGTTATGATGCGTAACCATGGCAACGAGGCAGTATTCTACAACCAACAGCAGCTGGTTAACATCTCAAAAGCTCAAATAATATTTCAACTACAGCCCCAAATGAGTTGAAAAGGATGTTCTGTGGATGCATTCTCATCTACCTGCCAGCTGTGCTCGAGTGCCTGACCACTGAGATCCTGGAACTAGCAGGAAACACGGCTCGTGACTGCTTGCACTTTATGTTCTTACAATATCCTAACATAGCTGACGGAATATAAGACAAAAATTATAAAACCTTCTTCACTTATTTTCCCCCAACCAAAGCATCACATGACGGATGACGTCACGCCGATTAGTGTCAAGTTTAATTTAACAAACTAAAAATTCTTTAAGCAGGAAACATTTACGTAATTTGACTCAACAAATTGAACATTTTCTGAAAAGTTGACAGAAATTGATCAAACTCGTTTTGTGCGGCGGTCAATGTACTTCCGGTAACGAAATGAGCTAACTTTAAGCTAACGGAATTTTTTTAAATTAGCCCCAATGAATAAAAAATAAATGTATACCTTTACTAAAACTTCTAAGTTTTCTTTCTGTCGTGTCGTCACTCCAGCACATCTAGAGGTTAAAATGAATAAAAGGTTTAATTAAAAACCGGAAGCTGCGGCTACAACTGAGGCCACGCCCACCGCCGACCACACCTGTAATCAATTCACTCATCAAACATTTCGTTCATTGTTAGCAGTTTATACAAAATATCCAGCTGCACATGATGGTGGAATCTGTCACGACTAACTTTAAACAACATTTAGAGACAGATGTTCATGTTCTGACAGATGTTCATGTTCTGATTGACAGATGTTCATGTTCTGTCTGACAGATGTTCATGTTCTGACAGACGTTCATGTTCTGTCTGACAGATGTTCATGTTCTGTCTGACAGATGTTCATGTTCTGTATGACAGATGTTCATGTTCTGACAGACGTTCATGTTCTGTCTGACAGATGTTCATGTTCTGTCTGACAGATGTTCATGTTCTGACTGACAGATGTTCATGTTCTGACAGACGTTCATGTTCTGTCTGACAGATGTTCATGTTCTGTCTGACAGATGTTCATGTTCTGTCTGACAGATGTTCATGTTCTG